ATATATATCTATTTGAGTTTAACATGTGTAATTTATTACCTCCAATTGTAGCTTAGCTCATTACCAAAGAGGGAGCAAATGAATAAATTTGCTAGTGAGTGATTAGAAAGCTGGTTGAAGATATCCTGATTCATTCATGACTATAAAGATTATTAAATATTATTATTAACATGGAAATAAATGATCCAATGCTGATAATTATAGATTAACAGTCATCAAAAACATTAAAATCCAAGCATAAGCAACATATTTCTTTTCCTACACTAACTTTTTAAAAGCACTTAAGTATGTATCTGTGATTAATAATTTATATTACATGTGCCCAATAATTAAAGGGTATCTCAACAGAACTTCAAAATTATTGCAGTTGTATATCAGTGTGTTTTTCATTTACAGTAAATTTCTCTTTTGCTTTAGGCTTTTTTGAAAAATTAGTATTTAGGTACTTAATATTAAGGTGAACTAACATGTCCATAGATGGAGTAGGTATCTACCTGTAGGTATTTACCTGTTTATTAATTTTAGCCTTTCCAAAAGTATGAAAAATTAATAACTTTTTATAGCAAGTGATATTTTCACTGAGTATTCTTATATATCCTGGCTTTCATGATTATTACACCATTCCTATAGGTTATGCATTATCATAAACCCTTCAGTTTCTCATAACTTTTTAAATGAAAAGATAGAATTCAGATCAAACAAAACTATCTCCTTGTTAAATCACCCCAAAACCATTAACCAAAGATCTTTAGTATGTTATTTTATAGGCAACAAACAAAATAGTTCAAAATAACTTGTATTTAAATAATGAGTTAGATTCAATGGTATCTAGTATATATTTAACATTACACTAACTTGAAAGTATAAAAAGTTAGAGAAGACAAATTTTTTCCCTCTTGGTTCTTATGATCTAATTATAAACACCAAAAATGTTAGCAAGTAAAAATGATTGAAAGCTTTGACTACTAGCTTGAAAGAAATGACAGATAAAAAATAACAAGGGATTTTTAGCTCAGGTTTCCAGGGAACGAAAAATTTTTAAACCATATTTTGAGGTAGGGAGGTATAATATTTTCCATAGTCCATTGCTATTATTGTTATTTCTACTTATTCTATAAATGTGAATATTTCTTTTTTCTCTCTCAAAGATTATGTGATAGAGCGTAGAAATACCTATTATCTTATCTGGTGTTAGAAGTGTTCATGGAAAAAAATAAGAAGAACTTTTCAAAATAGTGCTATGTTAATCTTGATTATTAATGAGATTATTTATTAATTCACAAGGATATTCCCAAGGGGCATACATTATCAAAGCATGAAACCTCTCAGACAGAAGATCGAAATTTAGATTCAACATTTATTTTATCCAAAACAATGAAGCTGTAGCAAACAGTCTGAAGACAAACTATTAGTCATTAAAGTAGCACCTGGAATACTTTCTTCTTCAGATTGAATAGTTGATATTCCATATATATATATATATATATATATATATATATATATACACACACATATACATATATACACACACATATATAAGATATTTTCTATATTTTATATCTGTATATATATAAAATAACAAAAATAAAACTTAGCACCATAACTCTATTCATGCAGTAAACCAGACCATAGAGATGCCTGTTTATTCCAGATGTTATCTTCTGAGGCACCTGCTGGTCTGTGAAAATCCTTTTTGATATGCCCAGGTAAACGAAAGAGTGCCCAGAATAAAGAATTGTGTAGCATAAAGCTTCCTACCTTAACTTCAACTTCTAATAATATTCTTCCTAGTTTGGGGCAAGAAAAGATTTGAAAGTAATTCAGCTCAGCAACTCAAGTTCAAACCTTTAGTTCAATCTATTAGCCTGCCAAAAAGTAGATGTGCTTCCTCTGCCTTTGTAATTGTTTATTTTCCTGAATTTGCTGGCATCAAAAATAATTCACATTCCCATACTTACAGCCCTCCCCACACATAACAAAAAGACCAAAAATTCATTGTTTTTTTTTGTGTGTGTGTGTATGTGTGTGTGCATCTTTGCTTTATGCAAAACACAAAGCGGATTCATTAGGTAAGAATTACCTATAAAAGCAATTCTGTGTGAAAGACAATAGAAAAGCCACAGCACTTATTTCTCAACCTTTTACCATCAATTTCTGCTTACGTTGATCATATCTTTCTGATGATTTTAAAACATTTGCATTGCCAGACATTTTTCCTTAACTTTCCCCCTCAGCAAGTCAGCAGGGAGGTAACTGGAATCTAATCTTTACTATTCTTCTTAATGGATAGCAGGCTCTTAAAAAGGTGAACCAGTGGTGCCAAAATATGAAATAACTTTTATAATATGCAGGCCATGAGAACAATGAGTAGATTGAGAACTGTAGCTCAGACAATTTTCTCAAACAGTGATGGGATTGCAAATGGATATGTTACAGTTCTTTTTTTTTTCTTTTGTCCTTTACAAACATTGTTAAAATCATCAATAATTCCTACAAAATACAGTAAGACCTGGATATATATATAGATTAAATAGAGACATTCTAGTTCTACATACTTGATGTGCTCTGTGCCTAAATACAACCACATTCTTCTGTGTTTTTCACATATAAATGATTACAACACAGATATAGCATCAGAACTGACTTTAGAAAGGCCCTGGCTTAAAGTGGGGCCATGGAAAATTTCCTGATGTCCCTGAATGGAGACACACATCCAAGCAAAAGAATTCCTCTATCAGCTCCATCCTTTGCAATTTATTTTTGGGTTCCAACAATAAACAACTTTGCATTTCATTATTCTCATTTCTAAAATGAGGATGATAACTACTTAGTCCATTTTCCTATGAATATAATTTTTAATAATTATAATTCTTTGTTAAGAACATAAAGGTTAAAATAGGTCACTACCCATTGCTCTTTGTTTCTCTTTTTTCATCAGGAAGACAAGAATAATAACATTTGCATAATATTGTTGAGCATTAATCATGATAACGTACAAAGCACATGGGGCACAATAGGTGTTTGATAAATGTCCCTTCCTTTCTCCAACAATTTTCCATTTCATAAGTGGGCAAATTCCATTCAAAATGTTGGCAATCCAAATCAGTACCATGTAATTGTCTCTCAGCTACCTCCTGATCCTATTCTTATCTCATCACACATCATCTTCCTGTATTTCCTGGCCTTTCCCTTCCAAAGGCCAAGGTCTCATCCCATCTCCCCGACATGGGCCATCACTTTGTAGTTTGTCAGGGATGGCTCCCCTAGCCAATTTCAGCTGCTGGGGCCTGTCTAGCGACTCCAAGACTGGAAGGAGTTAAAGCAACTGCGGGTTGCGACTGATCACTCCCAACCCTGATTCTTCCTGCTCATCCTCTTTGCAATCTGGCCTCAGAGAAGAAGCAGGAAAAGGGAAGGCATCGCTAGAGTGATGACATGTGCCTCTCTCTCTGTCCCCCACCCATCACATTTTTCTTTCCACGTGCAGAATCCGGAAGGCTCTGACCGCCCTTGCCCTGGCGGTTGCCATAGTTACACAATAGCAGCAGCACCAGACTCGGGAGGGGTCGCAAACTATCTCCTCTACCTCTGCCTACTCCCTTTCTTCCAGGTTAGGGAATCCTCCTCCTTCTTCCTCCGTCCCCCAAACACTTACACACACATCCAGGAGACCCCATTTCCGGCAAAACCTGAGACTTTCTGTCTCCCGCCCTTTCTTTTGCTGAACCCAATAGCACTGGCAAGATGGGTGGGGGGAGAGTTTTGAGGGAAAAGAGAAGAGTTCACTTAAGATACCGCTTTTTATTAGGGCTTCACTCGAAGTCAAGTGATGAAAAGTTGGTCCATTTAACTCTCAAGCACACAACACGGAATCCCTGAGGTCAGCGGCCCCAGCTGCCGGGCGTGCGTCTCGCATCCAATCCTGGGATTCCAGACCGCCCAGTTAAAGCGCGATGTCTCCTCCTCCTGTCAAGTCCCCTCCTAGCGACGCGAGCAAAGTAACTCAGTCCACGAGGTTGAACACAAGTCATGAAAGAAGTAGAACGAGTGCTGAAAACTGACGGTGCGATGCCAGTGCAGTCAGTTACGGCGTCAACTCTGGGTGCGTTGTGTGGAAGCCAAAGCGGGAGGGGGGTGGGGGTGGGAGTACTCCGGGTTAAACGCCCAGCGGGAGTCAAATCTCGGCTTTTGCAGAACAAGCCACACCAAGGGCTACAAAAGGAATCCCTCACCCCAGCAAAAGAGCGTTTTGTCATAACCGCATTTCGCAGCCAGCCAGCTTTGTGGCTAGTATCTGATTCCAACTTTCCCCTCTGGAGCTACTAGGACGCACACTTCCAATAGACCCGGCGTCGCGATTCACTTGCAAAGAAAAAGGCGTTGCCCGTCCCTCCCCCAAAGTGCCACAACAAAAACAACCACCATGCACTCCTCTACCCTTCTCCCAGTACAAAGGGAAAAGAAGCCAGCTAGAGCTCAGATGACCTTTGGTCAAGTCTTCCCCGGACAGTCCCCGCCAACTTGTCTTTAGATGAACCTGTAGTTGCCGAAAGAAACAGGACACTTTCATAAGTGTCCTCCACTGCTTTGGCTGGGAAGGGGGTCGGGAAAGGCTAAGCACCTAGGGTGAGAGCAAAGTTCAGGGCGCGCTCCGAGCGGAAAACTTTGTGCAGTGCTGTTAGGCGAAGGCTCTGAATGAGTCTTCTCCGACAGCGGCTGCGGCGACGTGGGACTTGCGCCGCTGTGGCGGCGCGGGCGGCGGCTCCGGGCTTACCGGCAGTCAGTCCGTCCGCTGGCTGCTCACCTAGTCAGTTACCCTGCGCGCACATACCCTGCCCGCTACCCAGCGCTTTCTCTGTTTCAGGACGGTTCTTTATCTCCCAGCCGCTTCGCACCCTCATTTTGAAACCACAGTCACCCCCAAATCCTTCTCTGCTTATCACCGCGGTCTACAGCGCACCCTCCCACCAGAGTAGCAGGTGACCCGAAACCAGACATACCTGCTGTGAACTCTCCTCGTCTTCTCTCTTTTCCTGATGCTGTTTCAGGAGAGGGGAAAAAGGTGGAAGAATGAGGAGGAGCCACGCCGCGACCTGAGGCACGAACAGGAGTTCCTCTGAGCCTCAGCCCAGGCTGAGCCGCGGAGCCGCCGGCGGCCCAGACAGAGCGCGGAGGCAGCGGCCGCAGAGGCCTGGCGCGGAGGCAGGGGGCGCTGCTGCCCCTGAGCGCCTGGCCGGGACAGGCAGAGAGTGAGGCACCAGCTGGAGTTTTGGCTACCCGAGGGTGGCACGCTCCAAGCAGGAGGGCGGCTTTTAAGTTTGTGGTGTGACCGCAGCAGCTGTCCTGGGAGAGACTCAGTCTTTCTAAAAAAGGGATGCTTAAAACGCTGGGGATTACCTCTCCCCTTCCGATCTCCACCCCCACCCCTTGGCCCCCCTTCCCTTAGCATGCGCAAGTGCTCCCGAGAGTGCACAAGTCCATCCCTGTCTGCGCTCAGGCTTTTAGCTGCGCGGATTGCGGACGCACTGAGGGATGTTTTGGGATTCGGCACTCTGTCTGTAAAGTAACCTCTGACGTCTCAGCCTGCGCCTGGGGTGATTTAATGACCTGTATATTCCCTTTTCTATAACACGAAATTTCTTTAAACTTCCGACAGAAGAAACTGTAAGAATGGTCGGCCACAAACATCACCATAAAATTTTTAAGTCTCATTTGGAGTATCTGGGTTCCACTATGGAAAACCCAAGCCTATAGTTAATGGTCTTAAAAATGCAGGCATGGGTTGAGAGACAGGAATCAACCTTCTCTCTTCATCTCTGAAGGAAGAAGCAGGGGGAAAAAAAAAAAGTGAAATGTACGCTTTTCTCTCCACTTACCCCTTCCTCACTCCAGGCTTACGGGGTGTGCTGTGTATTCTTGTTTCTGAAGATCTTGTTTTCTGGAGTTTCCTTTGTAAAATTTTTTCACACCTTGATCATACAATACAAAACTTGCAAGTATTTGGGGACAGAGAACAGGTTTACTTTTTGTGAAACCTGGAACTTACACAATTTGGAGATGAGATCCTTTCATAGGATAATAGTACAGAAATAGCTTACTGTTACAGATTTTGCAAAATGTGCCAGAAAAAAAAAAAAAACTGATCTGGACCTTCTCAGGAATATGGAAAGGCATCTGTGCAATTTAGTCCTGAAAGTTTTCCCTTATTAGTTGCATGATAAATAATTCTGTGATTGGAATGCCAGTTCTATAGTCACACACCTTGCCCTGAGTCATGACATAACGCTGATTGTAGATCCACAGAGAAGAAGCAGCTACGGGGTCCTGCATGTGTCAGCTTGATTTAAAAGCATGAGGTGTAAGGTCCCAGAGCAGCCTTAGTAAATGACAAGGGTATGTTGGTTTGAGGGTGGTGAGCAGGCAAGGGCAATAATGGAAGAATTGGGAGGGATGGAGGAGTTTCAATTCAACCTCCCATGTGCAACAGAGAGCTGAGGGCCACAGACACCAATGAATCATTTTAAGTTACAGATGGCTGGTGGCAGAGCCAGCCTAAGTTTCCTAACCAGGCTTCTTTCCTGTGTCTCTTGCTGCCCCCATCTCTATAACGTTGGTTTTGACTGTCAATCAACCAACCCCATAATTTTCCTCTGCCTACAGGAAAACTGAAGTCCTTACAGACTATTTCAGCCTATGTCAACTTTGTGTTGAAAATTTCATACTCAATTTTATACTACTTGTTTTTAATTAATCATACCCTTGGGATATTTTTTGAATTTTTCTCTATTTTTATTGTTTTATTTATGTCATTGATCCTCAATCCAAATTACAAGTGCATTATGAGGACAGAACACCTGTGTCTTCCACAGCATTGCTTTGCACATGTAAGTAGTTTTTCATTTTTAAAATTATTTATTAATTTTCTAACATTTTTTTCAAGTGTATTGGCTAGAATACTTTGTTTAATTAGAGTTGGTTAACTTTGGATTTTCCCTTTTCTCCTCTTGTCTAAATCATAGTTTAGTATACTCAAATCAAAGGACATTTCCCCCTTGCTACCATTTCAACTCTTTCCAGAGAGCCCCTACAGTATTAATCATTCCCTCCTGTTTTCCTAAAGCACTTTGACTTTAGTACTATTATAAGCCTTTTTCATGTTATATCATAATTAGTTATGCATGTGTCTGCATCCCATGCAAAAGTGTTGGCTGTTCATGTGTATTTCCCCAGACCCTAATACAATGCCCGTGAATTTGTATTGAACTGATTTTGTTTGAAGTGCCCTCATTTCAAATTTAGACTGAGTTTACTAGGGCCTCCTGAATGTACCATAAGAAGACAACATCTGGAACATGGGTTCTGTGCTTTCCTTCTTTTTAATTACTCTAAGCACGAAGCAGGCAGAATTAACTACAGAGCCCAAAGTTAGGATGAATGGTCTCAGCTGTGTCCTGGCTTTGTGATTCTCAGTGCATTTCCTTGAATATCTTGAATATGCTAGATGTTGAACACGTATTTATAGGTTAGTAAGTTAATAAAAACAGTGGCTATTATGATTATATTGTTATTGAATTGTTTTCTGAATTTCTAATATCTGCACTGTATCTCATAAGGAAGGTTTTAGCAATCTTTTTTAAGAGTTTGGGATATGCTGTCACCAAAAGCAATTTTGCAGTCTGACTTACAGGGCTAAAAGCTCTCTGAATCTTTACAATAAAATCCAGTAGAAACAAACTCTGCTTTACATTGCTTTGCTAAAATGTAGGGTGTTCTGTGTAATTTGTTTCCAAGGGTGACTATTCAGATTCAACAAGTGATACACATACACACACACACACACACACACACACACATACACACACTCATATAAACACATATATAAACGTGTGTGTGTGTGTGTGTGTGTAATTATATATATAAGAAAAATCCTGCCTATTTCTCTGTGACTTAGTACCTTTCTCCCATCTCCACATGGAGCCCAGATGGAATCTAAGTCATTCTCATGATATAATAATAGTGGGGATTGAGCCCAGTGGTGCTTTATACCTAATTTAAATCCTGAGTGCTTTTTATTTTATAATATTATTTGTTTTGAGGTGGGATCTCATTAAGTTACTTAGGGCCTTGCTAATTTGCTGAGGCCGGCCTTGCTCCTCCTGCCTCAGCCTTCTGAGTTGCTGGAATTATAGGCATTTGCCACCATTCCTGGCTCAAACAATTACATCTTGATACCAAAAGAATGCAAAGAATACAGTTCTAATTGTAGAATTTCAGGAAACATCAGTCTATGTTGGGAGTCAAGGGGAGGTTGGCAGGGATGAGTAAGGGTAGAATACGCACATTCTAGACTTCACCAACTCCACATATACCTACCTGTACCCAAAATACAGAAGAAGATAATTACTGGGTTCAAAATTTAAACCTAGCAAGATCTCAGGATTTTCTTAGAGCAGAAGCTACTAGACTGTGGTTCTCTTTCAAAGAAACCCACAGTTCTATTTCTTTCTGGTTTACATTCAATAAACCAAAAAAAATTCAGTGAATTTGATAAAAGGGACTGAGTAGTTTATGCACAGAGACAAATAAAGCAAATGAAGTTTGAAAAAACAAGACTTTTAGTGCTTAATTCTATAAAACTAGTCACAACTGGTATGTATTATAAACCTGTTTTATAATAAATATGACTTTGTGAATGTTTTCTCACACATTAACATATCAGTACTGACAGATAAGATGGAAAACTGGGACATATGCTCTTTTGTGTCTAAGTGAAACAAGTGATAACATGAGTTCAAGCAGCTCCCCCATCTCCTAATCTTCTATCAGGTATTTTCCCCTTATAAACTTCAGGTATTTTTTCCATCTGCTTCATTTGATCATGGTAATCTGCTCAGAACTGGATCATAGATATTTACATTGTAAGATCTTTAGATGTGTTAGTAGTGGAAAAGAGCACACCTGACTTTTATCTTTTCCTTCAGTATTAATTACACACACATGCAACTCTCAGAAGTAAATGCTTTCCTGCTTCTCATCATCAGATAAAGATACAAGATAATTTATGGTTAGTTAATTGGAATGTAAAACTGTCCAAACTTTACTTCATGTCTTCAAGTTTTAAACTCTAGTAACATATCATAAATAATCATAAACATTCACAGGAGTTTCACAGAGCCTTTCCAGTGAAGAGACTTCTAGTAAGGAAACCAGGGCTTCAGAAGATAGAATGATCCCCCAGCTCCTCTATCTCCTGCCTTGATGCCCTCTCTCTTTAGAATACTTCACTCTGTTATAGTCTTAAAAAAATCAGCTATTTTTCAAAACCTTTCCAAGCCAGAATCTTAGGGTTATATTTACTTAGCTGGGTTGGGGTGTGGTGAATAATTAAATTCAGCAGGAATGTACTTCAAAATAAAAATAAAAACACAGCCCAGCCCCTTTGGCCCAAATCCTGAGACCTCAGAAAAGAAAAACCTTCTTGACTGAACATTCACTAGAAGCTGGAAAGAATTTCCATGCCCAACATAAGAGTCCACAAAGCTATAGCAAAAGGAGAGAATTTAAAGTCAGATAAATGACTCTTTATTTTTATTTGTAACAACATACTTACATCGATAAACAATCTCCAAGGAAGAATTTGAGGGAACAATAAACATCTTTCCTATACAGAATGTATATGGAAATCATCTTTAAGTTTGCTTTTCTTAATATCTCATACCATAATTCTGTACATAAAGCGTATTTTACACAGAGTGTATTCTTCTAGGAAAAGGGGGGGTAGAGAGTGGATTCATATGATACCTAATTGAGGCAAGCCTTACTTGTATAAGGGTGATGAAATGAAGAAAAATATGCCCTCTTGTGGCTTATTTATTCTGGTTTGTAACTAATCAACAGTACTTTTATTTCCTGAAAGCCAAACATACCTATATTCCAAGTGGAATTAAACTATTCCTTTGTGTAGTGACTGGCAAGGATCAGGTCCATAAAGACAGCAGGAAGGCATTCAAGACTTTTACTTCAAGGTCATCAGCAGCTGCTTAACCACAAAGAAATCAGGATCCCTGAAAACCAAGGAAGATTTTCCAAGATAACCCACAGATTTATATAGATATTATCAAAATGCCTTTCACATAAAAGGATTAGATAGAATTTCTTTCTTTATATAGTGAGGTTTGTTTTGGACACACTTAAATCCTAAGTTTCCACAAACAGGAGAAAATTCATGATTTCCTTTCCTACTGCAATTGCATGTCTACTATTTCTTTATGAGATGATACTATTTTTTTTCCATTAAAAATAAAATATATGATAAAGTAGCTATGGTGATTTTCATTCTATGCATATTTTTCCTATCTTCTTTTCCTCTAG